ATTCATATAAATAGAAAAAAGACTATAAAGAACTTCAAAACTCTGTCTTTAGTCTGCTGAATTTTGTGATGTGCTAATTCTGGAAATGTCTCACTCAGGGGACTATTGGTGTTTCCCTCCATTTTTTTTTTCCTATTAAACTTTAAGAAAATTGCCTTCGATGAGTTCGTATTTCTTTTAAAAGGTAATTTTGGAATTATTTTTATTTGTTATACTAGAAGGCCTTTAAGTTCCCTTTGGAAATTAATCACTGTTTAATAGTGTGGTTTATTACTTATTGGTACAAGAGCTGGAAATGGCCTTCTGACTGTGGAACCAGTCCCTGCTTTTATCTCTTCCACACACAGAGATTTATCTGATCATGACGTTAGCATCATGTGGTTGTTTTACAAAGCCCCCAAGAACAAAGCAAACATCTAGGCTAAACACACTTTAAATATAGTTGAACTCTGGTGAAAACTGTTTTGGATTTTTTTCTAAACCATTTGTTCCAATCACAGTAATGTTCTAAACTGAGTAAACATTGTTCAAAGAAAAACCCCAAATCTGCATTTCTTATCAGACCCAAAGCAGGATATAGCTCTAAAATTTCTTGGGTGTTTTTCTCTTCCTCCTGACTGTCCCAAGTGGGTGTGCCTTGTTAGGATGGAAGATATGGTCAAGAGCAGAGCCTGCAGCTGGCATTTTTAAAGTGCCTTTTATTTATTTGCAATTTACAATGTCACTAAGAGTCCCATGCTTTGTGTCCAACCAGGCATTACTACCAAAAAATGCTATTAGTGACCTGATAGTTGGATTGTGGGTAGATAAAAGGGTCGCCCTCATAAATTCCATTGTTATGGGGAGTGCTCTGTGCTCTTCTGATGGAGCTTAGGGGTAACAAAGAGACCAGCTGAAGTCAGATCTCTTCACCCTGGCAGTCCAGCCATCAGAACAGATCAAAGAGTGGACTGCCCCTTTGTAGTGTCCTTCACTGCTCACCTACCGGCAAGACAAACATCAGAGATAGATGCATCTGGAGGCCCTCGCAGGAGAAGCCAACTCCCAACTAGCATATCCACTAGGGCACACCCGGGGCAGGGAGGAGCTAAGGGGACAGAGGCAGGGGAGATCATGGTCTGAATGAGGCAGGCCAGCACAGAGACAGAAGTCCTGAGCTGGATCTGAGTTTTCTAGCACCATATTGGTTCCATCCAAAATCTTCAGCCTTGGGTCTTATAGTCCCACTGCCCAAGGAGCAAGCACAGAATCAAAGATGAGAGCCATTTGCTCATGGTTACATCATCAGTACAAGGCAGAGCCACAATGCGAAAACAAAACTGTCAGCAAGTCAAAGCTTTGTTCAGCTCGGCACCCCTCAGTCACAAGTCGACTTTCAAACTTCTCAAGACTTACAGAAAATCAGGGCTGGAGAGATGGCTTAGCAAGTAGAGCACTGGTTGCTCTTGCAGAGGACCTAGGTCCAATTCCCAGCACCCACTGGTAGCTAACAACTGTCTGTAATTCCAGTTCCAGGGAATCTGACACCCTCTTCTCACCTCTGTGGGCATTGTATGACATGGGTGAATTTACACACAATCAGGCAATACACTCATATACATAAAATAAAAAATAATAACTAAAATAATAGTAGCCGGGCGTGGTGGTGCACGCCTTTAATCCCAGCACTCGGGAGGCAGTGGCAGGCCTTGAACTCTGTGAGCTCTGTGAGTTGGCAGGGCCAGTGGTCTATATAGTGAGTTCCAGGACAGCTGGGGCTACAGGGAGACCCTGTCTCAAAAAGACCAAAAAAAAAAAGACAGAAAATCATGGGTGTGACAGTATTAACTATCAGCTTGACAGCAATCACCTAGGAGGCAAGCCTCCAGGCACACCTGTAAGGATCACTTAGATTAGGTCAGCCTCTGGGCTTGCCTCTGAGGTTCTGCTGTGATCAGCTAACTGACTGGGAAGACTCACCCAAAGCACAGAAAGAAGGAAGCAAGCTGAGTACCATCACTCATCCCTCTCCTTCCTTACTGTGGATGCAATGTGACCAGCTGCCTTAAGTTCTTGCCACCATGTCTTCCCCACCCTGATGGACTACCCTGGAACTGAGAGTCAGAATAAACCCTTCTTCCCTTACATTCCATTCTCAGTCCCTCATAATCTGGCTTCCATTTCCACTTCTCTCCAGACTAGCACTGTTGACATCACCAAGGACGCCCAAGGTGACAAATCCAGTGACAGCTGATTTGACCTGCACATTCTCTGGGCACTGTGGGTCCTGCCAGGCTCAGGACCTACCAACCTGCTCTGTGCAGGGCATGCTACCTGCTTACTTTGGGGCTGGTATTTGATTCCTCCCCCACTAGCTTCTGACTCCATGAAGGAAAAGACTTGTCTTCCGAGTGTGCCTGGCACTCAGAAGCCCTCAAGTGCCATCACACATTGCCTAGTGATGGGGATATGTTCTAGGGTCAGATAGTATAGCCTTCCACACACCAACCTTTGGGACAGCCCTTTGCTCCAGCATGAACTGGCCACCACTGATAACTGTAACACAGTGCTAAGTCTTAGCCTTTGGACCTAAATGTAGGAAAGATGCAGCAGGAACTTTGCGGCTCCATTAAGTTCCCATGGGACCTGTTGCACGTGGAGCCTGTCTTTGTTTAATGGTGAGGTCATTATGTCAGGTGGTTAGATGAGAAAGACTCTGATCACAGAATGATGGATTGAACTGGACCAGTCAGGTTCTACCCTGAATGAGCTCCATCAAGTAAGTACAGCTCAAAGTGACTCCTGGGTCACTGACTTCAGAAGCACCCACAGTGCTTAGGCTCAGAGTGGCTGCAGGGGACCAGAGTGGCTACCTGGGATGAGAGAGGGCTTTTCTGAGCCTGCAAACCCACAGCGACCCTGCTGCTGCATGCACCCTTGACTCAAGCCGCACTGCTTGAGGCAGTCTGGTGGATGCCTGCTTCCCACAGCGAGGAGGTTCGACGGTACAGGAACTCGGAGCCTGAAGAAGCAGCTCTTTGTGGATAAATTGAAAAGCCCGGAGGAGAAGAAATAAAAACACAAGGCGCCATGCATAATTTCCCCTGAAGACTTCAAGATCTCCTTTGAGGAGATTAGTTAGGTCCTGGAACGATTCCCAAGAAGGGTGCCAAAGACAGCAAACTTCTTTGACAGAGATAAAGCTCACTAAGACCCCAGACCACTGCTCTGAGATATGAAAGGCATTTCTGATTTCACAGCATTTTTCTTTATTTTCCAAAAGCTTTTACACATAGAAAAAAAGATCTCCCTATATGTTAAACTAATTAATTTTTCTTTTCAAAATTATATCACTAAGGGCTTCACAAGACAGGAAAGCTACACATGAGACCTGTATTCAAAGGCTCATTCGTAATGCCTAAACTTAGCTAGAACCCTGAAGGCAAAGCATTTCAAAGCCTCAGACTTTTGACTGGATTACATGAAATTAAACCCAATAAATTAAGTGTACGGAGGTTGGGGGGATCTAGGTACTTTCCAATTCTAAACTGGTTAGTGCCGATATGATTTGTTTACTGAATCTCCTATGGGAGTTACAGCAAATGATGACTGAGCTGACCCACAGCAAGACCAGGTCTTGCGTTTTAGTTGGCATAAGGGTCATGTCTCCAGGTTGTGGGCTGTGTAGCTGCAGAAGGAGCATCCACAGGGTGTGGTTAAAGAGTGAGATATCTGCTGTCAGGCAGATGGGCCTGGAACTCTTGTCTCTGCCCTTGACTAGCTAACAATGGAACAGTAATGTTCTGGATGGACTGATGAGCCTGGACTGATCATGGGATTGCTGAAGGAAATAAAATGAATAAGAACTGTGCTTGTGCTATTCAATATTGCATTTGTTAATAATAATAAATTATTTGAAGAATGTTTAGACATTATAAAAATGAGTATCAATACACATTTTCTATAAAAGAGTCATTTCAGAAGAAAAATACAAAGTAATGAATTCTGGTAAAGAATGTAATAATATGAATTATAATAATATAAATGGAATAATATAAAAACCCCACAGCCCTCTTGGAAAGAGAAGCAATGCTATGGGGACTCACCAAACCATGCAATCACAATAAATTTGTTTGGAGGACACTTTTGTTACAGAGAGAGGCAAGAAGGTAGACCCCATGGACTGGAAAGTTTATCAAAACAGTGGTCCCCAGAAAGGCCATGCAATAAGATGCAAGGGGGAGCCAGCACCTCTGCCCTCCTGTCTGGACATAGCTCTTCCTTGCTCAGCTGCAACCTGGCTTGTCCCACTCCTCGCTGGCTGACTCCATCCCTGTCCCTCATCTATGGTATTTGTTGGCCAGGTAGGCTTATCATTAAGAGAGTGTGTAGCCACACTCCCATGCAGGCTGAGAACACAACAAACACCTTTTACCTCTAAGGAAAATGTATCGTCAAAAAGACTAATGTTAGCATGCAAAGGAAGGGTTTAAGTGCCTCCTGACTTGCTGTCTCCCCAGCCTGCAAAGAATCCTCTCTCCTCACTGATTTGCCAGATGAGGAAAGTGAAGGAATCAATGAGCTGGGATTCCAGGGAATGACATGTTACAGAGGGCAAGGGATTCCCAGAAGGAATCCCTTTAGAAAGGAATGCCTTTAGAAAGGCAGACACCATACATGACCCTATCTGGGATGGAGAAAGGAAATCCCAGGAGTCTGTGCACATCAGGACCTGGACCACCAGTGAACACCAGTCTCCTACATGGAGCATCTTCAATGAAGGGCACAGTTCAACAGGACACAGCAGCCACAAAGTGCCTGTTTCCCCCTTGAGATACAAATCAAAGGGCGCTGCTGACTGAGGCAGACAACAAGGGGCTTTCTGTGCTGCTAGGATCTGGGTAACGGCACTCACTAGAAGCCCCATGGCAGAGAGAGGGTCTTCCTTATTTTGCCAGCATATGAAAGGTCTAAAAATTAACTTTTCAAAAAGGCCCGCTGCTGTGTGGCACATCACTCACAGTGTGGTTCGTAGGGAGGAGGCGGGTCTCCACAGGGCACACACTCCATGTCTTGAAAGCCAACAAGTTTAGTCTTTCTATAAAATCTAGAAGAGAAAAGAAAGCAGTCCTGGTTAGCTGGATCAACTAAGCTCACCGTTGCAGAAGTTATGTCATCAATTACCAGTCATCTCTGGGACCAGATCTTGCTTAAATGAAAGGTACCCAAAGCCTGAAGAATCATATCCTCTTAGTTGGGCTCATCTGTGGACAGCCTTTCTAAGCAGATGGTGGACACCAGAAATTCAGTTCCCCTACATAAAGCTTCCTGGATTCTGAGTTTGGAGAGATGGCTCAGTGGTTAAGAGCACTGGCTGCTCCTGCAGAGGACCCAGGTTCAGTTCCCAGCACCATATAGTAGCTAACGACCATCTGTAACTCCAGTTCTAGGGGATCCGACACACTTTTCTGACCTCTGTGGCCACTGTATGCATGTAGTGTGCTTACATACATGCCGGAAAAATACTCATACATATAAAATAAAAACACATTTTTAAAAAGTTCCTGAATTCTTCTCAGTTCACTCTTTTCCTATACTAGGATGGGATGCTGGCAAGAAAAAATGAGGTCAGTAGCTCTGGAAATTCCACTATAAACCACAAGACACCTTTTAAATAAAGTGCTAGTTTTTTAACATTTGAAATACAGGAGCCAAAAAACTGCGTGTGTGCGTGTGTGCGTGCGTGTATGTGTGTATGTGTGTGTGTGTGCGCGCATGTGTGTGTGTGTGTGTATTCATCATAAATCTTCCTAAGGCTGGGCGTGAGAACACACACCTTTAATCCCAGCACTTCAGAGGCAGAGGCAGGCGGATGTCTGTGAGTTTGAGGCCAGCCTGAGGTTCAAGCCAGTCAGGGTTACACAGTGAGACCCTGTGTAAAAAAAAAAAAAAAAGGGCAAAAATAGAGAAAGCATCATTAAAATAGCTAATGGGCAGCACAAAATTGAAAGATTATTATAATTCCATTGCTGTCTATATATTGAATCCAGAAGGGTAAACTTAAAAGTCATGACAATGAAACTGAATGCCACAGTGGCAAAGAACACTCATTCTCCAAGAAAGAGTATTTCATAAGACCAAAATCCCCATGCAATTAAAAATTTTAAATTGATATTAAATGATTAACTTCCTAAATAATCAGATTAATGCAAACCAATGTGAAAATATATTATTTTTACTTGGGCAGTTGGGAGAAAGTGTAAACTCAGGCAAATAAGCACATATATGTGTGTGTGTGTGTGTGTGTGTGTGTGTGTGTGTGTGCGTGTACATTTCTAGTAGGAATGTGACGTGCTTTTTTTTACATGATCACAACTCAATAAAATAGCTTATATTCTTTTTTGGGTTTCTTTTTTTTTTTTGAGACAGGGTCTTACTATAGCCCAGGTGGCCTAGAACTCGCTATGTAGACCAGGCTGGGCTTGAACTCATAGAGATCCACCTCCCAAGTGCTGGGATTAAAGGTATGCACCACCATGCCTGGCATTATATTCTCTATCTAATATTTTCAGTTTTAGAAATTTTATCTTAAAAAAATAATAAGTTGGGTAAAGCTCTGTGTGTAAAAACCACAATTACAGTATTTTTTACAAGAGAAAAATCCTGACTAGGCATTTTCCCAATGTCTTACAGCAGAAATACTCAGCAGGGCAGACCCAAGCAAGGATGGACTGCATATAGTCTTTAGAAATGAGGGTGTTGGACGGGCGTGGTGGCGCACACCTTTGATCCCAGCACTGGGGAGGCAGAGGTAGGCGGATCTCTGTGAGTTCAAGGCCAGCCTGGTCTACAAAGTGAGTTCCAGGACAGCTGGGGCTACAGAAAAAAAGAAATGAGGGTGTAGATCCACTATAACCATACACGTTTAAAATTCATGGATTATCATTAAATGAAAAACTGTATACTACGATTTTATGATGTGTACAGACACTTGCAAACATGTACTTTCAGATTATTTAGCAATGCATAGGAAAACATTTGTGTAGACATTTGTATTGGAAATGTTTATATATACTAAATATTAACAGTATCTGTTTCTAGATGGTGGGAATTCAGGCAATTTTCTCTCTTTAGATATATGACTTCTAACTTGTCTATGACAAAACAGTGATATGGTGTCTAATGTAAGGGTCAAGTCTATGGAGGAAGGCAAATGCAACTGTTTTGTGAGAGCAAAAACGTAGTAAAAACTGTGATGCTTACGATGGATGCAAATTTGAAACTGGATAAATTAGTTTAAATGCCTGGATACAATCAGTGATTGGTCAAACTTTGACTTCAATTTGACTATGAAAATATGTCCAAATGATATCCAATATAGTGATCTGCTACCAGATTTTAATAAAATTATTTA